ACGTCACGAGTCATGATCCAAGTCTCCTGGGACGGCGCTCACTATCTGCGCAAAAACACGGCGCGCCTTCTGCGCACGTCCCGCGCTTGCGGCACGTTTTGGGGACGCTTTTTTGAGCCGCTTCTGCCGCACGGCGAGGGAACCCGCAGGTCTATGGAGGGGGGAGGGGGGGAAGGCGGTCCCTGGCCTTCTTAAGCCCTCAAAAAAAAGCACCAGCTGCTGACCTCCCAGCGAGTGTGACTGGTTTCGGTCCAATTGGATTGGCTTATTTTGACTTCCTTTGACCAGTCGAAAGGGGCGAAGTGTGGGGCGTGATACGTGGGTTCAACTGCTGTGGTCCTGAAACATGTGTCTGCTTTAAACATCACCCCACCAAAAGGCACCAACATGTATCGCTTTTACAACCCATTCCAAACATCCAGTTACAGGAACTTCATGTTTACAACAGCCCTTCCAAAAGATATCTGAACGCAAGTGAAAAAGTGAAAGGAACATCCTGGCTTTTCATGTCCATACCCCAACAAAACCCCCAATCATTGTTAAATCCCACAAAAGGCAAATAAATGTGACGTACCCCGCTTCCCCGGCCCCCACTTAGCCGTAGCCCGAAAGCTCACAAGTCCAGGTCGTCGTCGCCCCAGGCCGCTGTGACCTGCGAAAGCCGCGAGCATTCGCAACTTGACCGGGTGCATAGGGAGGCCTGCACAAATGACTAAGTTCAATGTTCTGTATAGATATACATATAGATACATATATATATATATATATATTCTATGCCCCCCCAATAATACAGTACAGACTCACCTGGTGGCCTATTTCTATACTTGTAGGCCCTCCAGGGCGGTACCATGTAAAAATACTTATATGTATATCGTTATTTGTATACATATGCGTGCTCACCCCTTTTAGCTACATAAACAATTGTGGGCGCGGGTACAAGCCGCAAGTCTTCATTCTGGCCCTACACAGACTCCTGTACGGACTTGGGCGATGCTTGAACATTGGGATGTTCGACAGACCGCCACTCAAATAGTCTCCGAAAACAAAAGTCCTTGATGAAAGTGTTGCTGCCAACACAACATGCCAAGTTTCTAGACGGTGGCAACCAGATTTACTAGGTCCTCCGGTAGAGAGGTTGGAATAAGGGTACCAACTGTTTTCTGTAGTCTATTTTAGTAGGGGAAACCCTCCCAACCAAAAAGAGATACGGTGAGAAAGGGCACCTAGCTGGGGGACCTAGTTTAGTAAAACTTCTCCACTTTCCAAAGTTGGAAGCGGATGATTCCGGGTTGTGGAGGACTACAGTCCTGAAACGGCCAAACCGGCCCACTTCCACGGTTGGGTTCGAGGGATACCCTCGACACATACCCAAAGGAAAACCGGCAGGTACTTCTGTTTGTTGGAGGCTACGTAGAAAAGGACCGCCAGGTGTTACTGCAGAAGTTCTCTCCTCCCCGCCCAAACGGACTCGATTCGCATTCAGGCCTCCCCTTCGTCCAGCAAGGAGTTCACAGACGGACCCGCGGCCTTTGGGAGGGTCCTGGGTAAAGCTTCTCGACATGGGCTCGTCTCTTGCAAGTCGCCGGCTTTTTTGGGCCGGCGACCAAAAGGAAAACTAAAAGCAAAGCCACAATCTTGGAGCCCCCCCTACATTGAGACCAACCCACAGAACCTCTCTCCAATAATGGAAGCTGACAGGAGGTTGTTGGGGACGAATATGTTCCTGTGGGAAAAGCCCGGCCACTTACCTCGTTTTGCAATAGGTTTGGGGCGCCCAAAGTGGAATCACCCCACACCCAGCGGGCGCCGACGCTTGGATTTGGGGGTGCCCTGGTCGTCTTACACTGCCGGAAGGTTCAAGAATTTGGCTGCACCTAAAGGAAGTGTAGCCTGCACTAAATGGAAACAGACTCTATAGGTTGCAGCAAACGGGTTCCCTTTATTTCCGACACCTCACCCAAGGAAACACAACTTTAACTTAAGGCAAATGGCTCAAGCTAATTGATGCAACGTAGGCTCCCAGTGCTTGCGTTTGCCAACGGAGGTCGGGCCATGAGTAAAACATGAGGGAAAGTATGCCGTTGGAAACAGTTGGAAGTCGCATGAAAGGTTCCAAAAAAGGGGCTTCAAGGTGCAAAGGGAGAAAATGGATGTGTCCTTTATTTGGAGTTGGTACCCTCCTGTTGGTGGCTTTAAAGGGAAACCAAAAGGAAACCACCATTTTGGTGCGTCCCTTGCAAGAAATAGGATAGGCGAGCCACCCACATGATTGGCGGTTCCAAGAGTCCAAGCCTTGGCATAGAAGGACCCCTGCCAAGGTCTTCCCAAGGGCACTTGGCCCGTCCTTGGCGCCCTGTATTCCGGTTCCATTCCAAGCTCGTTGAAGAAATCCGCCTCCTGCCGCTTTTGGTTTCTTTCGAAATCCCTGAACCGAATCACAAAGAACCCCAGCCCAGACGTCCAGACTGCGCTGGACAAGCCCAGAATGCGAAACGGGAAAAAGACGCGTCCAGAATTTGCGCTGGACAAGCAGCCCATTTCGCAGCGCTTGGGGCGCCTTTTGAAGCGGGGGCTGCGCTCCTAACATTGAAGACATCCCTTTCGGGGCATGAGTGGTTTTCAACAAACGACCAATAGAGAATCACTGATTTGGAAAGACCCGAATTCATTGGTGGAGACCCCCGCAAACATGGGCATGGGGCAAAAAAAGGAAGGCCATGCTTCCAAAAAATGAAGGCCACCCTGGGATGATTTCCCTCATTTCCCACGGATAGCAGGCATTCTCCGTCTCTGGCACGTAGCATTCCAACTTCCGCGCTTCGCGGCATGGCCAAGCCGCCGATCTTGATTTTTTCGTTTGCCCAGGCGCCTCAAAAACGGGCCTCGAGCGAGTGCAATTCGCCCCAAGCTTCAAGCCCTTGGGCGTCCTGGAACCCCAGATCTGTTGCAAGCGAAACCGAGAAAAAAAAAACGCGGAAGCTATACCAAAATGCGCCCGGATTCGAATCAACAGCAACCTGGATGCCCTGCTGCCCCCCCCCCCTTCCCCCGATTTCTGGAACGCTGGCTCTTTTAGAAACTCCAGCGGATCCACGCATGCTTTTCCAATGTGTTGGTGTCGAGCCATTGTGGGATGACCACTGGTTGGTTGGTTTCAGGGTCCCAAACATGTGACACCCACCAAACATGTCCAAGCGGAACTGGGTTTAAGTCTTGGATGGCTTAAACACATGAAACCCTGGTTGCTTGGCTGGTTGGCTGATTGCTTGCTTGCTTGGCTGATTGATTCATTGGTTGGTTGGCTATGTTGCCTGACTGGTTCATTGATTGGCTGACTGCCTCATTGGTTTGTCGACTGATTGGCTCATTGGTGGCTTGCTTGGTTGGTTCACTCATTGGTCCATAGGTTGGTTCACTGATTGCCTCATTGGTTTGTCGACTGATTGGCTCATTGGTTTGTCGACTGGGTTGATTTTTGTCAGAGCCTTGCGACGGCGCCTGCTTCTTCGCGGAGGCCTTCGGCGTCTCCTTGGACTCCTTCGCCTTCTCCGTCACGCCGCCTCGCGAGCGAGCCATCGGAGTTTCATGGAACCCCAAGGAACCCAAGGGAACCGAACCCAAAGACCATGGAACTGAACGGAACCCCCTTAAACAGAAAAAAATAAAAAAATAAAAATAAAATATTATTATTGTAAAAACAGAACAAATACATGGAAACCAGAGGGAACCCCATGAAATCCGGGGCTCGGCGGGTTCCAGCCGCCGAAAACGAGGGTTGATCGAACGCCAGCCTGTTGAACCTCCAGTTCGGCGGGAAGTTTCGCGACATCCGATCCGATCTCTTCTGGGAACCGTGCAAGGAGGTCGCTGACAAGGTCATTCACGGCTATTCCCAACATGGATTCATTGTCGCACTTCCTTCTGGGTTGTGCGTGCGTATATGACCACATATAAATAGACATTCGTATATATATATATATCCAACAAACCCACATAATTGGCCACGACTGGAAACGTCAGAAATTAGCTCTTTGGCCATGCCAATCAGAGGGGGGACAATTCTCTGATTTTGGTGCTCCGGACTAGTCCGCAGTTGGCATGAGCAGCATTCACTCACAGACCTGTTGGGGGGAACCCTTCTATATCCCTGATGTGGTTCATGCTGGAAAGTCAGCTTGATGCACCCCTGGCTGAAAAGCGGGAGCAACCCATGTTTGGGGCTAGCCAATGTATTGTTTTGGCGGACCCCCAACCCAACAAAAAACAAAAACAAACAAACAAACAATAAACCAAAGTTCTACTTGAAACCGGGTTAAACATTACGCGCCACATCAAGACTTAACATGGCCGCAGGCCTCCGCTCTAAACGTCTAAAAGCGGGAACCGCCCAGTACCCGACAGGTTTTGTGGCCAGCCGTGCAGCCATGCATCAAAATCACTACGTAGACCTGGCCATGGATCAAAATTCCGTACCCCCAGTGAACATCCCAATCCCCACTAAAATAGAGTAAAATGGGTGGGGTGCACCACCCCAAAATGGTACCATTGGTTTTGACCCGCAGCCGCCTGAACAGAGAAATTGCCCCTTCGATTAGTTGGGCTACCCTCGCAACATCGCAGCCCGCAATTCTCGTTTTGGCTGATTTTTGGACGGGAGATGCCAACAAGCAAACAAGAGCGCGCTGACTCTCTGTGTTTTGCGGGGCAGCTTCTGAACACGTAGACACATACCTTTGCGCGCCTTCAGAACAGGCAGGTTGGCTTTGGGCAACTAACTTTCGACTCAAAAACCCTGAGCAAACAACATGCACGTATTTGCCATGTGTTTCTGCTCTGCTCGAACCTTTCACATACTTCCCGGGTCCTCCGAAAAAAATGAACACACAGGGCCCAAGTACCTTCTGACGATCTATTTCGGGGCCAAGGGGTCAACACATAGATGGACCCTTGACGAAAGGGTCGGATCTGGATGGCCGATCCTTGAGCTATCCAGGCCACTGAGATCCCCCACCGGGGCGTTTGGTGGTGGTCTCTCTGGTCGGATTCCGGTCCACCTTGCACCAAGGCATCTGATGGACGCCTCAAGGACCTCAGACCTCCAACAAGTTGGGCCCCGAACAAGAACGGCACACCGCCATTAGCTAAGCTGCACGACCTGATGGCACATAGCTCCAGTGAGTCAAATAGGTGGGCCATTGGCCCAGCCGTCACACAAGGTTGTTGTAAGAAAGGTAGGAGGACTTCACCTGAGTTGCGGGGAAAGGACAGAACCAAGATAAACACATGGTTCCTGCTTGCAAGCAAGGATTGCATGAACACCTACGAAGAACCGCGCTCCACAGAAAACAGCCGCGACAGCAACCTACCCCAACACAACAAACAGATGCAAAACGCTGGGAGCAAACACAAAGACAGGGAGAAACACACAAGAAGCACAGAGTCAGCCTCCTTTTGGGAGTGACAACTTTCCCATGTATCTTCCACAAGCAGCTGCCCAAAACCACCCCTCCGGGGGGATGAAACCGAGAAAAAGACAAACAAGCAAACAAGCAATCAAACGAACAGACAAGACAACACGACACAAGATCAAACACAACACAGACCGAGCAAACACACAAACGGACAAATTAAGCAAACCAACCAAGCAAACACAGAAACAAACAAAACAAAACAACACAAAACAAAACAAGCAAACAACCAACAGACAAACAGGCAGACAGACAGACAAACAGGCAGACAGACAGACAAACAGGCAGACAAAAAGAGAAAAAAAGAAGAAACAAACACGAACATACAACAAACAAACAAACAACCAAACAACCAAACAAGCAAACAAACAAACAAACAAACAAACAAACAAACAAACAAACAACCCCACAAACACAACACAACACAACACAACACAACACAACACAACACAACACACCACAACCAAAGCCCAACAACCATCCAAGGAAACAAAGAAACACAACCAAAAAGCAAAACGACACAAACAAACAAAAATAAACAAAGAAACAGTGAAGCAGACAAAGGAAAGCCACACAGAGCAACAAAGACACAAAGAAACCATGAAAGCAAGCAGAAAAACAGAAAGACAACGAGAAACACACACACAAGACACACAAAACCCAAGAATCCGCCAACCAAACAAGCAAACAAACACACGGAAAAACAAACAAACACACCAGCCAGACCAATCCACTAAACAACCAATCAAACCAACCAAACCAAACAACCAACACAACAAACAAACAAACAGCACGAAAAGGAAAACGTAAGAAGGTGGGCTCTCTCTCCAGTTGCGGATTTTCCTCATCGACCGTGACTGCTTTAAGGGTCAAGCGTCTGGATATGAATAGCAACTTGGCCACCTAGACACGCAAACAAAAAGCAAGGGAGGCCATGCACACTTCGTCTAGTTCGTATGCCCAAACACTTCGTCTATTTCGTGGGTTCCAAAATCGACTCTTAGTCTCCAACCCAATTCTTCACGACTGGACCGAGTGGAACCCGTCCCTTTGCGGGTCCAAGGCGGGCACTCCGCTGCGCTGTGCCTCAGCCTGACGAATTATCCACATCCAGCCCTCTAGGCCTCCAGCCCTCTGGACCTCGGACCTGTGCAGCTTTTTGTTGACCTTCAAGGGACCCTCAAAACAATGCAGCACTGGTCTAGGTCAAGCTGACCCTGAAATTGAGGCGACCTGAAAACCATGTCTACACAATCCACCGGCTTGAAACAAGGATTCTCCAAGAGAGGAATACCTTTGTGGGTACTGTTGTTCCCCCCTAGCGCGCCATGCCCAGAAAAATGAGCGTGTACTCGTTGCCAAAGCTTTTTTCAGCCGGAGCGTCAGGAGTGCGCGAGCGAGCAAGCAAGTGAGGGAGAGGATCGGAGTGGTGTTTTAACCACGTGCGTGTCAAAATGTGATGCGCTCTGCGTGTTTGTGTTTCGTGGCCTCGTGTTTGTGCAACGGCATATTTATATGATAACCCTACGGCCGGGTGTGCCAGCGGGCGCGATACAATAGAGAATATTTGGATTTTCTGGTTCATGTCCCGTTTGCGCCGTGACCTGGGCAATTAGGAAAAGAAGAAAACCTTTTTGGTGGTTGATTCCATGCTTTGTGGAGAGAACATAAAAGAGAAAGGGGCGAAAGTATGGAACCCTGAACACAAATCCCACGCCGGCCGAGCCGGCGGCCGAGCCGGCGGCCGAGCAATGCATGAAGACGCGACAACAGCTACGTTGCCCGTTTCAGCCCAACGACAAAATTTGAATCATCACAAGCAGGATTCGATTGTTGCCATATTCGGAAAATGTGTAAAATTAACGTACCCAACAACGGAAGGTTACCCAAACTTCAAGAACGCAACATCACCCAACAACGGAATATAACAGTATCCAAACGCCAAGGAAACTTACGTGCTAGGACATAGGTCAGGGAGTGTGCCTCGGAGTTCCTATGCCGCCTCTGTTCACGGACACTTCATCCATGTTGGACCAAAAGGTGACCTTAGAGCCATTCAAGGGAATCACAAGAACCCTCGTTTTAGTCGTGAAACGGTGACTCATTAAGCTGGCTTACCCAAGCCCATGTATCAACATGAACAGGCGGAAACAGCACCATGGTGTTTACGACCGTCCCCAAGCCTTCTCTACCCGAGTCTTTAGCGTTGCTCCTCTGGAATATCCACCCCGGCCTGTCTGAACAACAAAGCCACTGGGGGCTAGTGCCCCCCCCCCCCACCCCAGCTAGCAAGTTCTTCACTGTTTCCTGGTGTGAAAGCAGGCCTAGGTCCTCCAGTAGAGAGGTTAGAATAAGGGTACCCTTTTCTCTGTAGTCTATTTTAGTAGGGGAACCCTCCCCCGAAAAAGGGTAAAAGGGCACTACTGGGGACCCTAGAAGCATGTTCACAAACAAGTCCCAGGCTGAAGCTCCGACAAATCTGGCACCAACCCTGCGCATCTCCCGGCCTCCTTTGTCTGAGATGCGCTCGAGTCTCTTGAGCCATTGGCGCTCTCGCCCCAGGAATCTCCGAAGAAGTCGTCCTGCCACAGGAAAGTTGACGCCCCATTTTGTTAAAAGAAAGAAAGAAAAATAAACGAACAATTCGATCGATGGGATGTGGTATTTTGGGGCCCTCCGAAAATGGTGCATGAACAATTGAGAGGGACAGTAAGAGAAAGTATGGTGTGGGAAACCTGTCCCCGAACAGCTTTTCTATGATGCAGGAAGCTTTGCAAGAACCTCGGCAAATCCTTTGAGCTTACGTGGGTGTTTGGCGAGTTTTCTGCGGAGTTTCGTGTGAATGATATCGGCGGGCCGAAATACGTTGGATTTATTTCCACAAAAAAAAGTAAGTATCGAAAACAAACCTACACATGTACACGTGTATGTGTATGTGTATATATAAATATATGAAAGTTAATCGTGCCATATATATATATATATGTATATTATATTCTGCATGATATCGGATTCAACAAGTAGATTGCGGGGAAGGTTGCATGCGTTGCAAATGAAACTTAGCGGGCTTGATTGGAGTTGTGGTATCCGAATGAGCGCCAGCCATTATTTAGGGCCACCTCAAGGAACCAGTGTCAAGGACCCAAACGAGCGGGTGCTTAAGCCTGCTGTTCAGGAGTCATGGCCTTTGATGTTGACCCAGGATTCATAAACTCGTCCCACTATTAGGGGGTGTTCTCTCAATTATCGGGGTTGACGTTAATTATCCGGGGTTGACATTAATCATCTATGCCAAGGCAAAATACCCCACTTTGTCAAGGGCAAACCGTACGTGTCGTTATTCTTTGAGCAGGGGTGGTTTCCTTATGGAGGTGATCCATAGACATGAAGACTCGAACTGACGAAACAACTCGTGGACGCGCGTTCCCCCTTTCCCCCGTTCTTGTGAGCATCGGATCATATCACCAGGGTATCGGTTCTGGGCGTCCTCCTATCAGCTTGCAGGTTGATGGGTAGCGAGCTTTGGGAGTCCCTCGGGTATAGCGGGGAATAAAACGCAAAGCAAGAAACCTTCAAGTCTCCTGATGAAAACTCAACTCGGGCCCTCAAAAGAGGAACTTTGAAACACCCAATTCTGCCGCTGTGGTGCTCGAACCCGGGTAGTCAAGAAGGACATTACCAAGAACGGCGCATTCATGGCAACGTATCCAAGAGCCGTTCCATCCCACACCTCGGCTTCTGCCTCGTGTTTACTGGGGAACCTCTGCAAGTTGACATGTTGATATGCCCAGATAGCCAAGTTGCTGGTTTATCCTGAAAGCAGCCTCAGCGCCAGCCACAAAATTCTCCAGGAGCAACGGCCCAACTTGACGTCTCCTCGTCGTCCTCGTCATCGGCAGACTTGGCCAAATGCTGCCCTTCTGCCGCCGAGTACCTCGAGACGTTTGGCCTTCCGATCAAAGCTCCAGACATTTTGGAGCAGGGCTGTGGGGAATGACCACTTCTGTGCTACAACAGAAAGGGCTTCCCAAAGACTATTTTGTTAATAGAAAGGGAGATTCCCTTGTACTACAGAAGTGGGGAGAAACCCCTTGATCCCACAACCCTGTTTTGGCGGGGACCCTTTTAGCTTCGGCTCCGACTCCCGAAGACTTGCCAGTTCAATACGCAGCTAAGCCGATGCCAGGAGTTGAGCTGGTTTCCCCTTAGGTACCTGAGGGAAAAAGGAGAAGCAACAGCGTTTGAAGGAGGGGACCAGGTAGACTTTGCATGACGTCAGCAGGTACAGGTGAGCATCCACCAAGCATAGCTTTGTTGGCCAGCGTTTGCTTGAGGGCCAGTGGGCCCCTGCACGAAAGGTTGGTTATTGGGTGAATCAGGGACTCCGCGCACACACACAGACACACACACACACAAACAGACACACACCACACACACACACACACACACACCAATCTACAAACTGCCATAGCCATTTTAAGGTCTGACAGAGGCTCGTTTCCCATAATTCTGCAACCAATCGCCAGTTGAAA